TATTATGGACTGTATTTCATAAATAATCATTCATGTTTTCAACCTAATGAACTAGACTCATATACACATTTAAAATTTTTAAAGTACAATATATTCTTCAATTTTTTTATTTGTATTTTTTAATGATATCTCACTCCCCACAGTGCTAGAAATGGAGGTTCAACCCTAGACTTTTGATTTCCCAGGGAATCCTCAAAATATCTACAGGCTCCATGGCTTTCATAGTACCTACCCTTCAAATGACTGTGACATGAATATATTAATTATCTCTTCTTTTAACAAGAGTCTCTTGACAGGAGTGAATCACCATTAGAGGAAGTAAGTTTAAAAGAATAGCTTTGCTGGGAAGTAAATGAAGTTTCTAAAGCCTGATTTTCTGTGTTTGGTTTAGAGTTAATAGTTTTTCTCTTATACGGCACAATAGTAATATTTCTTTCTACTAAAACTGCGAATTTTTAACAACATTTTAATCACCACCATGCATTTGAACAGTCTGCCTTGTTATACATCAATTCCATTTTAAACCAGCATTTTGTGGTAGAAAAGGATCAAAGCCTGCCACCACCCTATACTAAGACATAGTACAACTGAGTTTCATCTGTAGCAGGCACATTTGGTACTTTAAAAAAGCGTGGAAAAATCCAAACGTGCCTGCCATTGTTGCAAAGATTATATATACTCCCCAACATGGACTAGCTAATAGAACAGCACCTCTGGTATGTAGCAACCTTTGTGGAATATAGAACTTATTACTGGGTTTCTAATTATTGATGATTGCACCAAAGTGTCTATGACTCAACTGCACAAGAGAAGGTTTATTCTTGGCTGAATATAATCTGCCAGCATACCTATTTTGAGACTAAAGCCATCAAAACTCTCAGCCAATTTTTTTTTCCTGAGGCTCTAAAGCTCATAAAGTTTTACTTTAGCATCTTCCTTATAAATATGACTAAAACCCAAAGTAACAGAACCTGGATAACTGAATGTGGAGGGAGAGAGAAAACTCTATTACCCCAGAGCAGGTTGCAACTCATCTCTTCCCAGGGGAGACTACCTAGTGGCCTTGACTATAGGTGCCCAAAATAAGGATCTAGGTCAAGTTCTACTCTTACATATAGGAAGCACACCTTTTGCTGCTTTTATGTTAAATCCTAGGTATTAGTATCATAAATCTTAGAGATTTCTGAGGCAGTCTTGCATATTGGGGTCTTACTGTTAATTTTCCTTACTTGGACCTTTCCCTAATGCTGGCTTCCTTTCGAATTATTTTGACAGGTGTATTGGCCGGCCAGCCATAATTGGGATAATGAATGAAGAAAACAGAGACCAGGCTTTCTGTGACCTGCCCTATTCCTTGTGCTACAAACCAGAGAGTGAGGGCTGAAGTTGGCATCTGAACCTGGAAGTACAAAATGAGAAAGGACTTAAGAATTATATATTCCCCCATTAGCACTGTATTAGCTTTCCATGACTATAATGAAATACCTGAGATAATTAACTCGTAAGGGAAAAGATGTGTTTTGGTCCAGTTCAATATCAAGTGGCTCAGTGGTTTTGTGTCACCAAGGCAACATATCAAAAACATGGTGGAGTTCTTAAAATGTGTAACTAGTAATGTGTCAGTATTAAGGAACTATAAATAAATTCCAGAAATCAATTAAAAACAAACCCCTGACCTCATTCGTCAGTAAGAAAAGAGGAAAGGGAAGGGGCTAGAGTCCCGCTATCCCCTTTAAGAGAACGTCCCTGACACTTAAGAACCTCCCACTAGACCCACCACATAAAGGTTTCATCACCTCCCAATGGTGACACCCTGTTAGCCAAGAATTTACATGGACCTTTGAGGGACAGTCATCTAAAGCATACTAAAGTATGATATAAAACTTAATTTGTCATTACATTTCCCCACATATTCATAATCATCATATATCTCATATGTTCTGCACTAGCACCAATAAAAACTAGTCCATCCTGTTGTTCCTAAGACAACATGTACACTTATGAAAACTTATGTCCTACATATGGGTTTTGAGACCATTTTCAGAATAACTTCACTTTGCTATGGCTTCAACAAATGGTTTCTATTGTCATCTGTCCTCTTTCAAGTTGAAATTGGTGACATGTCCTTGTGATATGATTTTTAAACACCTAGGCTAGTGAACTTAGGGGGGAAATGCAGTGAGGAAACAAAAGAGATGGGTCTCACATGCAGTCTGTGAATTCACTTTCTTCTCACTAGGAGGAGTCTCTATCCCTCAATAGATAAAAATCTGCCCATGCTAGCCCTGGTCACCTGCTCCGAGGGCAGCATCCTGAGCTTGTGAATTGCTCCAGATGTATCCTCAGCTTGATTTCTCTAGTTTCTTCTCTTCAGAGGTCAGCGCATGCTGATTTCAGATTTACACACAAATTAGAATTCTCAGACTCTTGGCAGCTTTACCCTTTCTAGGCAATGGATGTGGAATGTCCCCCAAAGGCTCATATTTTACAAGCTTGGTCACCAGGATAGTGGGACCTTTAAGAGGTAGGGCCTAAGGGAAAGTCATTAAGTTCACTGGGGGTGTGATCTCAAAGAAGATCTGTGGTCTCTTTCCTCTTTCTCTAGGTTTTTTTGGTTGATGAGTTAAGATGATTGCTCTACCATGCATTCCTGCCATGATGTGTTACTTTGCCAAAGGCCCAAAACAATGGAACTACTTGATGATGGATTGGAATCTCCGAAAATATGAGCCAAAATAAACCTTTTCTAAATCTTTTCTCTTTACATATTAATAGCCTCAGGTATTTCTGTGTAATGATGGACAACTGAGTCATACTGTTATGGTTTAGATGTGGTTTCCCCTAAACTTCATGTGTGAGGCAATGCAAGAAGGTTTGTAGGAGAAATGGTTAAATTATATAGCCTTAATCTAATCAGTGAAGTCAAACATTATGAAGTCAAACATTATGAAGTCAAACAACAATAAGTGCTGGCGAGGATGCGGGGGAAAAAGGTACACTCATATATTGCTGGTGGGACTGCAAATTGGTGCAGCCAATTTGGAAAGCAATATGGAGATTCCTTGGAAAGCTGAGAATGGAACCACTATTTGACCCAGCTATTCCCCTTCTCGGACTATACCCAAAAGACCTAAAAAGAGCATACTACAGGGACACAGCCACATCAATGTTTATAGCAGCACAATTCACAATAGCTAGAATGTGGAACCAACCTAGATGCCCTTCAATAGATGAATGGATAAAAAAATGTAGCATTTATACACAATAGAATATTACTCAGCACTAAAAAATAACAAGATCATGGCATTTGTGGGCAAATGGATGGCATTAGAGCAGATTATACTAAATGAAGTTAGCCAATCCCTAAAAAACAAATGCCAAATGTCTTCTCTGATATAAGGGCGTGACTCAAAATGGGATAGGGAGGAAGAGCATGAAAAGACAACTACCACTAAATAGGGAAGAGAGGTGGGAGGGAAAAAGAGGGAGAAAGGGAGTTGCATGGAAGATGGAAGGAGAACCTCATTGTTATAGAGAATACATATATGATGTTGTGATGAGAAAAAGAAAACAAAAGTGTGTGAGAAAAAGAAAACAAAAGTGTGTCACATTAAATTGGATAGAGAGAAAGGATGGAAGAGGAGGGGAGGAGTAGGGAGGATAGAAGGGCAGCAGAATAGAATAGACAATATGATTGATGTATGTACATTCCATGTATGTATTACATGTCAAAATACATTCTGCTGTCATGTATGACTAAAAAAATAAATAAATAAATCATATGGAAAAAAAAAAGAAGGTTCGTAGGAGAAATGGTTAAATTATATAGCCGTAATCTAATCCTTGAATTAATCCCTGGTGGGATTAACTGGGTGGTAACTGGAGGCTGGTGGGCTGTGGCTGGAAGATGTGATTGATTGGGGGTGTGGCTATGGGGTATATATATTTTGTAAATGGAGAGCGGAGTCATTCTCTCTCTGCTTTCTGTTTGTAGTTGTGAGCTGCTTCCTTTTGCCACACTCTTCCACCAGGACATCCTGCCTCACCTGGAGCCCTGAGGAATGGGACTGGCCTTCTATGGACTGAGACCTCTGAAACTGTGAGCCCTCAGGTAAATTTTTCTTCTACAATTGTGCCGGCGGGGGTCTTTTAGTCATAGTGGTGAAAAAGCTGACTAAAACCCATGCAGACAGCATTGTAAACCTGGTGTGTCTAGAATTCAACTTGAATTACAGCTTAAGGAGGAACCTGTCTGACACACTCTTCCCACCACGATTTAACCAAGAACAGGCTTTGGCCTGGCTAACTAGCAATTTAGGAAAAGGGAGAGAACTGCTAAATATCTGACCCAAGTATTACGATAGGATTGTTCACTGGGGAGTACTATGTGAATGTGTACATAGTAGTTGAAGCTCATCTCTGGCTCTCATTTTGGTAATTTACTTGTATTATAAGCTACTAACGAAATTTTTTTTTCTGATATACTTTTCCCAAAATGCTTGAACAACTGCTGCTTCTGTGACCACACATAAATTTGAAAAAAAATGAATCCAGGCTGATTTCCAAATGCCTTCCAATTTACATTATCAAAAGGAATGTAGGTAATATCTTTTTGCCTGCAGTGAGTGTTAGGATCCTTTTTAATTTTGCCAGTATATAGGTATAAAGTGATAGTAAGTCACTACTTTAATATGAAGTTTGGTGGCCTACAGAATTTTAATATATTCCTATATGTTTGCTAGCCATTTGCATATGATTTTTAATGTTTCTTTAATGCAATTTTCTGACAGTTTAAAAAAGCTATTGGGGAGCTGGAATTGTGGTGAAGGAAGAAAGAAAGGAAGGAAGGAAGGAAGGAAGGAAGGAAGGAAGGAAGACTTGTGTCCATCAACAACTAAGAATATTTTTTTAAAAAAGCTACTTAGCCGTCCCACCCCTTCCGGGCTGGCTGCTCCACACTTCCGCTTCCGGTGGCGTTTGTGGTAGTTCACCCTGCGGCTATGGCTTCCGGGGGCCGGGATCCGTGGTCCGGTGACGTGGAAGAGGATGCCTCACAGCTTATCTTTCCCAAAGAGTTTGAAACAGCGGAGACTCTTCTAAATTCAGAAGTTCATATGCTTCTGGAGCATCGAAAGCAACAAAGTGAGAGTGCAGAGGATGAGCAGGAATTCTCAGAAGTCTACATGAAAACTTTAAAGTACACTTCCCGTTTCGGTCACTTCAAAAACAAAGAGACCATTACAAGTGTCCGCAGCTTGCTGCACCAGAAAAAGCTACACAAGTTTGAGTTGGCCTCTTTGGCCAACCTTTGCCCAGAGACTGCGGAGGAGTCCAAGACTCTGATTCCAAGCCTGGGGGCGCGATTTGAAGATGAGGAACTGCAGCAGATTCTTGATTCTATCCAGACAAAGCTCAGTTTTCAGTATTAATCTCCAAACTTCACTCAGCTTCTTGGGGGACTCACATCCCCCAGCACAGCACCACCCTCTCAGGGGCTGGTCCTGCCTTGCAGAAGCTATTGCAAAAGACATTTGGAATTCTTGAAGAGGACAGTCCTTCTTGGTATGGGTTTAGGTTGCTGCTTCAAATGTGACTCTTAGACCATAATGACCGTATAATCTCAGAGCCGACTTGCAGTGACTGCCTAAACATGAGGCTGGGAAGGGGGAGGTGGGATGTGATATAAGCCATGCTGTTGACTATCTCATACTGTGGTTTTCGGACCCCACATTTATTTTGTATTCATAACATTTCATATTTTAAATTCAAAAATAAATAAATAAAATAAAAGAAGCTACTTGGATTTTATTCTTTTTGAACATTATCTGTATTACCTGATAAACATTTTACAAAAGTAGACATTTTTTGACAGGAATACTTTCCCACCCACAATTTAACTTATAGTTAAAATTTTAATTTAAATTTAAAGCATATGACTTCTATACATGTTGGGCTTTCTAATTTTAACCAAAAAGATTCTCTTGCTTCTGCATTTATCAGGAATTTACCGAATTCTCAACTACGCACACCCACTTCTGAGAATCCATCCCATTAAAATAAAAACAACAGGGCATAATGATATTTGCCAAGGAACATTAGTGTGTTTTACCATGTAAAAAAAATAACAGAAATAAATGTCCATTAATAGGTGAATGATTGAATCAAGCATGGTAGATAAATACTCCTAAAAGAAGAAAGAGGGTGTATACCGTTTGTTTTGGAAATATTTCTCATGAAATATTTTTGAATGAGAACTGTATGTTGTAGAAGATTATGTATAAAATGAGATTTGCTAAACACCACCAACAAAAAATATGTGTGAGTAACAATAATGCATACTGTTCACTTCTCTAGCTATGTGAACACAGAAAAATATGGAAGGTCATATACTAATTGGGGGGGAAGCACTAACAGGGGGTAAGGAAAGAGGAGGATGGAAAGGAGAGAATTATAAAAAAATTAGGTAAGACTTTTAAAGGCAAAGTATAAAAATAATACCTACCTACCTCAAAAAAAGTCAAGCTACATTTTCAATCTGTTTTCTTGAAAGT